GAAACTTCCACATTTGGGGTCATTTGTTACAGCAGCAACAAGAAACCAATATAATAACACTGCTGTACTCATTTCCTTTTCCAGGTGGCTGCCAGTGAAGCCAAGCCTGGTTACCATATTTGAAATGTCAACTTGAGGCTCTGGAAACTCACATTCCTCTGATTCTGTTCTACTTTTTTCCTTATTTTGTAGAAAGAAAAGTACAATTGTTATAGTAATTACATTTTACCATGCTTTATAATTTATTTATTGATTATATTTATTGGGGCTGCAATGTTTGACTATTTTATTTACTGGCTTATCCGAAGAATCTGAAATACTGGCATATAGTAGATATTCAATGAGTAATTGTTGAATCAATTAATGAAAATGTACTGGAACACATGAGATTTTCATAATATAACATGACCAGTAAGAAGTTCCACAAGGATTTAAACTCAGACTTAGAGTTTGTGCCCTGAATCTGTTTTCTAACTACCTAACCACTTGGAGGAAGACATTGTCTGGGCGATGTTCTCAACACAAGTGTTTGCCTAACCACAAAATTAAAGACTGGCGGTCCATGCACCAGTCCCTATGTGGATTAGGAACCTCTTTCTCAATCTCTCTTTCTCTTCAAGATATGTGTTGATATTGTGATGTTCTACTTGTTATTTTAATTTTTAGTTGCCCAATATAAGACACATGGCTTTATCTTTAATTTTGTGTTATTATTATTTATAACAAATATTATTAGTCAGGCATTGTGGCAGGAGCCTGTAGTCTACTACAGGGAAGCTGAGGCAAAAGAATCACTTAAGCCCAAGAGTTTGAGGTTGCTGTGAGCTGTGATGTCACAGCACTCTACTGAGGGCGATAGTGAGACTCTGTCAACACCAAACAAAAACAACAATAAAAAACCGAAAACCAAATATTATTGCATATTACTCTATACTCATTATTAGAGTTACTATTGGTTGTTTAATCATGTTAAACTTTATTTAGAGTTTGTTTTTACTTTTTTGATGATAATTTACTAAAAGCTAAATCAATTCTTATGTTTGATAAAAAGTATATTTGAAGGATTTGAAGGCTACTCAAGGTCTGATAAATACTTTACATGGAAGAAATCTTGTTCCCTGCCTTTGGATCATTAAACAGTGGGGGTTTGGAGGATTAAGCCCTAAGTATGTTATTTTGATGTCGCCCCTTTCCTTCCTTACAAAATGGAATAGTTTGGTTATCAGAAGCCGCTTTAAATGTTATATATATATATATATGTCATAATCCGAATAAAAATAGCATTCATGGAGATTTCTTTCGGAGCCCTTGGTAAAACACTCCATCGTGGGTCTCTGTCAAGATATCTGAAAACTTTTTCTTGGCTTCTGGCTTTGAACAAAGTTTTAGACTCACAACAAGGCTTCATTGTGCTCTGAAATTTCTGTAAGGCAACATTCATTCAAGTGTTGATCTGCATTTCACCATCCAAGAATAACAACAGTTATTTATATAATTTTATCCATGTTTCTGTTTTTTCCTATCCATTTCACCCTTTCACCCCACCCCTGCTGAAACGCTGCAGCTTGTTTGGGATGGGGGTGGGGTTCCATGCAGAGCATATACACATACAGATGTTTTTCTGTTTCTTTTCCTGGTCTTGCTATGGGGTAGACAGATTAGATCTTTTCTTATTAAGATTATTGAAAAGTTTGGAATTTAATATCATTTAAAATTATAGAATAGGCCTCCATAATAAGAATATATTTATTGGCCAGAAGATTAGCTTAATCCGCTTCAAGTTAGGGTGACTACAGTAGACCAAGACCTATGATAAAATGTATAACCATAGTGAGTTGATTAAAAAAAATAGTCACTTCTGCTGAAATCCCTACCAAAGCCTGGAAATTAGGTGGGTATCCCTGTGACTCTCAACTGGAACTTTCTCTGATCTTTAGTGACCGTCTGAGACCACGAAACTACAGGACTAACTATTAAATCCTTATTAAGAAAACATAATCAATAGCTTGAATTAAATAATATGGGACATGAATGTTCATGCCCTTATTTTTTTTTGTGGGGGGGGAGACAGAGTCTCACTTTGTTGCCCTTGGTAGAGTCCTGTGGCGTCATAGCTCACAGCAACCTCAAACTCTTGGGCTCAAGCAATTCTCTTATCTCAGCCTCCCCAGTAGCTAGGACTATAGGTGTCCTCCACAGCACCTGGCTATTTTTAGAGATGGGGTCTCACTCTTGCGAAGGGTGGTCTCAAACCTGTGAGCTCAGGCAATCCACCCACCTCAGCCTCCCAGAGTGCTAGGATTATGGGCGTGAGCCACCATGCCTGGCCTGTTCATGGCCTTGTGATAATATATACCACCAAAACTATACAATCATTTACATTAGCTGAAGTACACTAAAATGTAGAATCATTAGACATAGTTTTCTATTAAAGGAATTCATAATTGTTTAAAATTGAAAAAAAAATAATCTGCATAAGCCAGGTCCAGTGGCACAGTTTTCTATTAAAGGAAATCATAATTGTTTAAATTTTTTAAAAAAATAATCTGCATAAACCAGGTCCAGTGGCATAGTTTTCTATTAAAGGAAGTCATAATTGTTAAAAATTTTTAAAAATAATGTGTGTAAACCAGGTCCAGTGGTAGATAGTTCCAGCCACCCAGGAGGCCAAGGTGGGAGCCTTCCTTGAACTCACGGGTTTGAGACCAGTCTGGGCAACATAGGGAGATACCTGTTTATATGAAAATTAATACACCTGGATATTTCTAGGTTTATATATACAAACCTAGAAAGATCTTCAAAATCTTTCCTATGTTTATTAGCAGAGCTGCTGGTGGTGGGGAAGAAGTAACTGGGATTAAGTTGGAGATCAACATAGCTCTACTTCTCCTCACAATAGATACTGGCTGGCAGGGCAATTTATGTTGTATACACAGAAGGGGAAGCCAAATCCAGGGCGTTGTCCTCATTCAAAGACAGAGTTTTAGGGAAAGAGTTCTCAGTTGGATTTGGGGCTATGGGCAACAAAGTCACAGGAATGATGCCATCGTGTATCCAGACTGCGATCCGTGGAGCTGGTGGTCAGGGGTCTAAGCCCTGGTTGGGGGAACTGCCAAAACTGAGTCAGGATGGCAGGCCAAGCAGAAAGACTCCTACTGTAGGGTGTCAGATTCTTAGAGGTGAGTTGGAGAAATACTCGGCTAAGCTGGATCGACCAAATTAGAGACCCGGGAAGGAAACAGCTCAGTGGAGTTGGGTCTGGGTTTGGCTTTCCATAGAAGCAGACTGTGAGTCTGTGATTTAAGTGTAAGTTGTTCATTTGAAAGGCAAAGGGAACCCTGTTGGAGGAGTAGAAAAATGGAGCGAAGGAGCATGGCCACTGAACGAAGGGAGTGTTGTCAAGGCAGCTTGATCCTGCTGGAAGATTCTGGGTGCTTATGTAGAATTCATCTCAGAGTTAGTCTAGCTGGGGGTGAGGGAGCTGGGGTACCTATACTTCATCATCCCCGATGTTTCCAGTCTGCCCTGAGGGGGTTGACTCAGGCTCTAGGAGCAGAGAAAGCTGTATGGCCACCACTGGTGCCACAACAGCAGGGCAGGAAAGGGTCTGCAGTGGCCACAGACAGAAGGCGGCAACAAGTCACTGCAGTTTCA